TTTTAGAATATATCAAATAAGTTGATTTTGCAAACAAACTACAATTACGTTAGCTTTTAAAAGCTTCCAATCTAAGTACAGATTTGGGCCAAAAATCCGTAAAAAATGTTTTTTCTCTCTTAGGAAACGATCAAAACTTTTTGTTTATATATCATTTTGTATCTTTATATGACAACTTTACCATATGTGAAAATAAGAAATATTTAAATATAGGAAGCAAATAAAAATAACAAAAATATCCCAAAATTATAAGAAAAATAGAGAAAATTCGGATTAGCCAATATCCAGTTTAGTTAAATTATTTATGTCAATTTAGTAATATCATCATATAGACCCTATATGGGTAAATATCTGTATGCAAAAAGAAAAACATTTAATCTTTTGAAATAGAAGTAGGCATTGCGTGATTGGCAACAGTATTTTTTTATTCTTAATGTCCAAGGAAAAGGTAATGATCTTGACCTGCCCTTGCCTCCAATTTTAAACGGTCAAATTTAATCTAACTGATACCATCACTTAGTGATATTGTCTTCTTGATTCTGTGAATATTTCATTGATTTTTAAATACTAGAAATATGAGAAGAATCCCTCCTTAAGCTAAATTTCACGGAGCAAAATATAAAATATGTAATATATCCACTCCTCCATGGCACCTGATCCCACCTCTGATGTTTTTGGAGTTCCGTGTTTGCTTTGTTCCCGATTTGTATTGTTTTAGTGTACTTTGAGCTTGAATTCTGTTCGTTATCTCCATATTTCATGCTCTATAATATAGATTTTAATTTAGTACCCAAATTCCTGGAGTGCTTACTGTATTCCTCTGAGGTTCGATAGAAATAATGCTCAAGATCCGTATCTTCTTCATTGGAGGCAAGGAATAAGAATAGTGATGTAAAGGAACATCAACATGTCACCATCTTTCTTCCGTTACGTAGTACTGTATCCTCTATTTCAGTTATGAAAAAATGAAAATAAAGTACATGATTAATATTCTTGCAAGATCTTAACTGTTCAGTTTTGTTTACGGGAATTTTAACGCCCTTTCCTTATTATATCATTATATATTATATATAATAGCTCTATTTCCTTTGGCTATAATATCATCCGGAAATAAACTCTTTCTTAGAACATGTAGCTTAGTTTCCTTTTACATTTATTAATGGAATGAATATTACCACATTTTTCTGCAAGTTAAAGTTTACGTGTTGAAAAATAAGCTGTCGTACAATCATTTGTAGTTGTTTATCTGTCACGTAATTAAATGTTCTTCTTTATAAATGATACCAAGCAGTTGCTCATTCCATAGATACTGAAAAAGGCCATCTATGTTAAACTTTCCTTCTCATTAGCATCAGTTCTGTTGACAGATTACGTATGAAATTTGTATTTTGTATTGACCGAACAAAGCCATGTAAGCGGAATCTTTGTAAAGGAAGCCCTTCTTAAATATGCATAATTAAACATGCGCTACTGAAAAAAAATATAAAATCGTGTGCCTTTGTGATCAAATTATTTACACATTATTTAATCTTAATATTACTAATGTAGTAAAAATTGATGAAATTGGGTTAAGTGATTTGATACGTATCGAAGTATTATATTAAGCATATCAGTCAATTGACAAGCATGCTTAAGAAGCTAACTAAGGACTCATTTTACTCTTAAGTGAGGCCAAAGAAACCACCCTTTCCTCGTAGACTTCCTAATCTTTTTCCTTACATTAATACGGCGACGAGTTTATCCGAAAACATACCATAGGTGATTTAAGAAGTGTCAGTGCCAACTAAATAATTTGGAATTATGGAATTTAAAGTGTTTGTGTAATTTATTAAATTATTTTTTGAGAAATGTTATTTTCACTAATTGATGTTTTAAGCATTATATACATGCAATTCTGTGATTAAAATAGTCATCATATATATTTTCGAAATTTTACTTTAATGCAAAATAATGGTAGGTTTTATAATCTTAGATTCTTTTTAATTCTGCATGTTTTCTGACAAGGGATACAATGACCTTGTCAGCAAATACAATTTATCATTGAGTCAAATGCTGACTGACGTTTTTCATACTAATTGTTAGGCCATTATTTACAAACTGAATTGTCGACGGATTTTACCGTTACATTGTATTTCCCGATTATGACAAGGAGCACACGGCGGGTGTGGTCGGTGGGCAGGGGATTCTCACTGCTCCATGGCACCTGATCCCACCTCTGATGTTTTGGAGGTCCGTGTTTGCTCTGCTCCTATTTTGTATTGTTTAATGGACTTTTGAGCTTGAATACTGTTCGTTATCTCCATATATTTCATAATAACCACCGAACATGTATCTCTGCTGGTGGACATTCTGTCTCCGAGGATACTTGTCGTTCGGTACCTATTCATGCATGAGTACACAGAATAACGAAATGATACTGGCAGACGCGTCGCCCAGTAAAAAAACACTTCACTCTTTTGAGTCTATAAGGGACACAGAGTCATGGAGTCCATTCGGTGCCCCTCGGATAATCCTCAGGGATATTAAACATATGTCATATGTATCTTCAGATTCCCAGTTTTGGTATAAAAGCAATAGTTCATACAAAAAATTGAAAGAATGTAAAGCTTCAATTAGATATATATTTGGAGATTCCTTTTCCGATCTCATGTCTTCTATTTCAAAATGTTCTGCGAAAAACTGTAAAACCTTTGACATTTTGATAACTAACGCTTCTTTCACCAGTAATCTTACTGGACAGAATTTCTATACCAAAACTTGGGAAAATCTGAACTCGAATCTTCTAATGTTGTCTACGGAATAGAATGTAATCTGTGTGGATTTGTTTATGTTGGCAAAACCAAGGGATCACTTCATAAAAGATATCAGGTCATAGATTTCAAATAAAAATGGGGTTCAGCAGCTTTTATACAAGCATTTTAATTTACCTGATAATTCTATTTTGTCAATGAAAGTTAGAATTCTAGAAATATTTACTAACACACAAACAGTCCATCACTGAGTACACCATTCCGTAGACAACGAGAAGAATTTTGGGTTAGAAAACTAGGGATAGCCTTTCCCTTTGGATGTAATGACAATGTCGATAGTGTTTGAAATCTTTCCAGTCCACAGTGTAACAGGATAAATGTTATGGGACTTTTTAAAAACACAGTGTCTTTTTAAAAACACACAGAGACGTAAGCGTAGTCATGGGCATCGGTCTTACAATAAACCTTTAATACACGATGTCTCTTTTGATTCATTACTACTTTAGGTAAATCAACAGTTAGGTCTACATCATATTCGCACCAAACTTTACTCTGTCCCTTTGAAACTTTTAAATAGTCTTCTTGAAAATGTCAAGGAGAGTCCATTTTTTGATTCCTCGACATCAGAATATAGGCTCGGATCTGTGATTATGGATATTGCAAATCATAGGCTTTTTAAACCCCCACGTTTTACTGAAGATAATGCAGCTAAAACAATCCGTTTTTGCCTTAAACTTCAATATGCCAACAAAGGAATTGACGCGGTTAATATAAGTAATATTCTTAATCACAAAAGGGTCCAGTCTTGTATTCCACCATTTTCAGATTAAAGACTACACCTTGTATTTCCTACAAATATACATCAACTATTGCTTCCAAACTTTTTAATTACAAGAAAACTTAACAGGGCCTGGATATTGAATATCTGAAACATAATCGTGTTCTTGTTCTTCTTCACTCTATAACTATAGTCCTGCTGGACACGTTATTACTAGTGACCTTAATATAGTTAATAATGAGGACCCTAGATCATTCATTTTAAAAGGTCCTAAATACAGGGAACCCCGATCCTTCAACTGATGTAGGAGTTTCATAAATATTATGGATCTGTAGAGGATTACGCCAGGCGATGGGCCAGACATGAAGAAGAAGACCTTGACACTTTGTCAGAATGAATTAAATGTATCAGATGTATGTTAAAATCGCGCATTAAAAGATTGAGGGGCAATATGAGAACCTTTTATTCTTCTGTATTCAATAATCCAGAAGTAAAAAAAGAATTAAGTAGATTACATGATCAGTACGTACTGGTCCCTGCTGATAAAGCAGGTAACAACATTGTCTTTGTTTGTAAGGCTCATTATATTAAATGTATTTTAAAGGATCTTGGATTTAATTCTACAAGTGGTAATCCAAGTTATACTCATAGTTCCCTTTCTAAGGAAGAAATTCTTCAAAATCATATGTCAGTTTTGAATATTTTTAATATTCCAAACAACCATAATGAACTTGAATTTACCATATCTATATTGGATTCCGAAACTTTCACTTTTCAATCGTCAACTTCCCTTACTTATGCAGCAATATACCTTCATCACTTGCATACGGGGTTTATATCTCTCAGTTAATTCGACACAAGAGCATACTCTACGTATGTACAATTTCTAAAACGAGGTAAATTATTGACAAACAAGTTGATGAAACAAGAAAAGCAGCAGTCTCGTTTAAAGTCATCATTTCGTAAGTTCTATGGTCGATACAATGACCTTGTCAGCAAATACAATTTATCATTGAGTCAAATGCTGACTGACGTTTTTCATACTAATTGTTAGGCCACAATCTGATTAAAATCAGATCCTCGATGCTCCTTTTTTAACGATATGTCGCTTACGAGGATCTGAAGAAGCCCAATAGAGGGTCATCTCCTGGTGACCTTTGAGATTTTAATATTCATGATAAATCTGACCAATCAGATTGCTTGTATTTTATCGACATTCGGAAATGTAAAAAAAATGGCGGACATAGAACTAAAAGTTGCGTTAGAAAAAGTATTGCCATTCTTTCACATTAATGAGTTAAAAAAGGAACAAATGCAGATATTAGAGGCAATCCTCAAGAAAAAGGATTGCATAGCCGTACTTCCGACGGGCTACGGAAAGTCTCTTCCATTCCAAATTGCCATTTCTGTAAAGAAATTTTTACATCGCGATGATGCAGACGAAAAAATCATTGTGTGTTGTCCCCTCGTCGCATTGATGAAGGACCAAGTGACAAGACTTAACTGTCTTCCAGGCATTAAAGCAAAATTCAGAGGTAAGTTATATAATTTTAAATCAAATATTGTACGGTTGTACAGCATACAAAATTACAAATTGCTTAGGAGCGCTGAATTAACTATATATTAACCTGTTAACTGTTTAATACGTTGGAATGTTTCTTGAGTGATCTAGAAAAGGGATGTCCTGACCCCCTCTCCCTCCCTTTTAAATTTCAAAGTTGTTACACATCGTATTAAAGCTATCGAAAATAGCCACTCACCAACCCCTACCAAACAAAAATTACTTCAAACTATCCCCTACCCTTGTAAAATTTCGTAATCTGTGCATGAATTTGATTTCAAGATAAACAACAATTTTTAGTTTCATAAATTTGTAATTCACATAGATAGGATTCAATTAATTAATTTGGAAGTTAGTTGTATTGGCTTTACATGTTTAGAAACTTCAAGTACCGCATGACCATCATATCATAACTAATTGAATGATGTGTAGACCTACAATTTTTAAATATAGGTGATGAAGAGGAAGAGGGTTTCATTTCCAGTGGAGAGTTTGATTATTTGTTTGCTTCTCCTGAAAGTTTAGTTGGTGATAAATTCTTCAGAACAGTTCTTCAGAATTTCAAAGTGTCAAATATTGTCATTGATGAATTCCATACAATCTCAGCTTGGTAAGATAATACAATGTACATGTAATTTAGAAATAGAAAAAAAGCTTGTTGCTTGATTTTCCCCTTTCCATGACCATGCATCAAAATCTTGTTTATTGTTAAGTATATCTTACAGGGGAGATGATGACAATGGAAAAGAAGCCTTCCGAAGATGGTTCCATTATGTTGGAGAGCTTCAATCTTTGTTTCCATGTGCATCAATAGTGGCATTGAGTGCTACATGTACAAAGGGGATTTCTAAAAAAGTAATGAAAATTTTGAATATAGCCGAGGATGCAGTTCAAATATTTTCTTCACCAGATAAACAAAATATTAAGCTTGTTGTTGTAAAAATCCCTAATACTCTTGAGATTGCTATGTCATGGCTTATAGATGCTCTTAGTGAAAACAAATTACCAAGAACACTACTTTACTGCAATTCTATTAAAACTGCTTCAAGTTTGTATAGTTACATAATAACTGAAATTCAAGACTGTAAATGTGTGGAAATGTACCATTCAGAAACTCCTTCAGAAAAGAAAGAAATCATTCTTAAAGCTATTCAGAATCCTGATAGTGATGTACGTCTCGTTATTGCAACAAGTTCCCTTGGAATGGGTGTTGATTGTGCAAAATTTTACAATGTTATTTTGTATGGACCACCAAAAACTGTTGTCGAGTTAATTCAGGAAATTGGAAGAGTGGGTAGAGATGGACAAACATCAACTGCATTATTGTTATACAATTCATTTAATCTGTGCAAAGTTGAAAGTGATGTGAAAAATATAATCAAGAGTGATAAATGTAGACGTTTTGCATTACTTCAGCCATTTCTAAATCAACAAGAACTCGATGATCTGGGTAAAAATACAGGATCATCTCTGTGTTGTGACATATGTGCCAAAGTCAATCCAGATCAGTCGTCATTATCTAATATTGAGAAACTACTGACTATAAACTTTAATGATGATGAAAATGTTAACCTTGCAAGTGACAGTTCAGATGACACAGTTTCATATGATTATGTTGAAGATGAATTTTTTGACCATTCTTTTCCGTAATTATACTGAATAATAAATGTTTTAATTTTGTTTTATTCTTTGTGACCCTTTCATTAGTTACAACCAGCACGTAACATAATCACTGACCAATTAGGCCAAGATAAATAAATAGTGTGTTCCATATTTTTACTTTCCCTAATTTTATTGAGAAAAAAAAATTATTTCATAAATTAATGTCCTTCAATAAACATTTTAAATTATTTTATGAAAAATGGCAATATTATTTTGATGTCCATGAAGAAACACACCATTCATTTATCTTTTCCTTATCAGCTTATTTTAACAGTTGACCACTTAAACATGTTAAAAGAATTCCTGTGATTATTCTTTCATTAAAAAGTTCTTTGTCACTAGGTGAACTTTAGGAAATTTGTTGTTTGTCCTCTCCCAACACTGCATATTGGTAAACTTTAGGTCTGTTGGTAGAGAAATTATTTTTACTCTTCAAAGTTGTACAAAAAAATATAGATATCTGTTTTTTTAAAATAAAACGTGCATGCTCACATTGTAAAGAAAATAATCCGAGTCAGTCTGTTGGGGGAGGGCAAATTAAACAAACAATTTTTTGGTGACCTTACTTGAAATGCATGTAATGAAAAAAGCATGTGTTTCAAATATGTTTATTTTGCAGTCTGTGATAAGCAACTACTGGTTTATGTCTTACAATTAAAGTAGACAGTCCGTTAAAACATTCATCATAAATTTTGGGGTCATTTTTTATGCCTTCACATTTCAACTTTCGACCATCAACAACGGAGAATGCATTTATTTCTGCAAGTTCTTTAAAAACCTTTTGAACATCTTCCAAATAAGAAGGTACAGTATGAAAACTCTTCCTACCAGATATATCACAAATCACATCAAAATGTTTGGTTGAGTTAATAATATGGGGGAATTCCTTGGAGTGTGCTAAAATACTCTCCCTGGTTTGGAAGCAAGAACAGGCAAATTTGCTGTCTCTATTCAAAAGTTCAACATATTCGTCTAAGGCCAAGTTGTTGTTTTTTCCTCCCTGTAGATTAATAAATCTGTTTGCTGTCAGGCGTTGTTTTAGTTCCTCGCTAAGCAACCCCTCCGTCATTGCAACCAAATGGATAGAACCTATAGCATACTTCGTTTTGTTAGTATAGTTATAAATAGGAAGCTCATATTTAGCTGATTTAATGCCCCTTACACCATCTGCCATGTCAACAGCATCATCCAAATTCTTGTGTAACAGTGAAAGTTTAAAAAGTAGCAACATGTAACCATTTAGTTCATCTTTACTTTTCTTTTTTTCTTTCTTTTGTTTCTTTGACACAGTAACACCATGCATTTTTTCTTCGTGTGCTTTCAGACTGCCAACATACGCATAAGTTTTTTCACAATGATGACATTCACTCTACCTTCATTGAAATTTGACACCCAATAATTGTCCGGATGATTTTTGTCGGTCACACAATCTCTTAACATGGACATAATATCAGGAGAACCCTCAAAAAAGTATTTTTCAATGATCCTTTCACATATGTCATTTATCCATGAGATTTTGTCTGCATCTGTATACTGGTAAAATTGTTGAGGCAGCGGAATGGAATCTGATAAATTCTCAAGATCCATTTCTTTCAGAAATAAATAACAGCAAATGGCATCTAAGATGGTGTAATATAAATATTTGTATGAACGGTAGGCATTTTTCACATCCCCTTTAACACTTCTGTGGTTCAATAAATTTCTGAAGTAATAAACTGTTCCTCTGTCTCCTGCAGATCCGGTATTGTATGTAAGTTTTGCTATTGCCTAAAATAAAATTGAATTTTCTGAAGTTATATTTTTTAGTCTAACTAATTTAAGAATTCAACATATGATTAGGAAATGTTTATCTAATCTGAAATTTTAAGATTGATGAAAGGTTTCATGAAGGGTAGCAAACCATTTTCTAAATAAAATTATACATAGATAAGGTACTTACTTCTAAAAAAATTCATTGATCTGTGGAAATCCTCGATTTTGGATATGAAACCTTCTAATCTATCATCAGACGTGTTACCATTAAGCATGGCTTCCTGTGCACACTGAATGCGCTCATCAGTAAGCCGGTCACCTGTTTTAACAAACATAATTAACACATTACTTTTACAGTATCTCATACAAATTTCAATCAGTACACCGCAAGTGGAGCATTCCTTGCAACAGAATAGGTTTTCAAATATGTTGTGTATCAAATTAAACACATTTGTTAATCATGTTAACTTGTACATAAAATTTGATATGTACCCAAATGATACTCAATAGTATTGATTTTCTCAAGAAATAATTCTTTCTGAAATGAATATAGTTTGATTTATTAATACAATGCCTCAGAATTATGTCTAATGATTCTAAGTGCTAAGATTTTATTTCAAACATACAAACACACAAACAAACCAACTTGCATACAATTAGCAATGTTCTATCCCTTTCCATTAAGTTGTATGAGGGTATAATAATTGACCACTTATACTTACCACCAAAAAGAACAGGCTCACAAATCTCTCCATCTCTGTGAGGAACATACTTCTGCTGTAATTCTTTTAAGAGCTTGATGACATCCGCTGTTTTGGTTTCATTACAGTCATACAGTCCTAACGGATACTGAAATTTGAAAGCATGTTAATTTATATGATAAGTTTATAACCATAATATCAGCATACCCACAAATCATATCAACACCATATTCCTATCATAAACAAGAATACTTTGTGAAAAATTAAATCACTTGCATTGTTTTAATTTGACAATAAATTTAAATCCACTATAAATTCATACCTAGTATTTAATCTTTGCATTTTAACCTGGAATACTTACTTGTACTGTTTTAATTCCTGCTTGATCACTATACTTGTGTGGCAGATGTTTGGGATATATTTTGTCCAATAGTTTTGAAAGGTGGGGAATGTTCCTGATCACAGATGTTGCAGTAATAAAAACCAATTCTTCCTTCAACTTTTCTTGTTCTTCAAGTGATGGCACGAATTTTTCAAAAGAGATGTCTGCATATTCTAGGTCTCTTTCTGGAGTTACCACAGGTATTTGCACTCTATCTACAGCAATCAATACATTAAACAAATGTATGGATTGTGTCTGGTTCTGGGAGGTCCTTCAAAATAGAACAAGATGTGTATGGTCACTATGATTTGTAAACTTACATTATTATAAATAACAAACCAAACTAATTGAAATTATATCTACTATTTGCTTCCTGATTTTTGATCTTTAAGATATTTAAAAATGGGGAGCACATAGATATAATTTTAACTAAACTGAAATTTCTACTAAAGTGATGCATGTACCTATACTGTTTATCAACTCAAACTTTGTATAATAATGTTCTATATTTTTTCCAGTTTTGATTTGAACAAAACCCAATACATATCCAATAAATAAGACACAAAATTTACCTGTAGGATGGCAGTATTTTTTTATCCCAATTGTCACCAATTAACTGGTATTTTGTTGTATTTTCTTGACCCTCCTCCCAAGACTTCTTCAGTGCTATGACCTCTGCATCTAAATTTGATATCCAGGTTTCTAACTTGCTGTGCATGGATTTACTTGTCACAGTCATTCCGCACTTGGCTAATCTGTCAATATCCTAAAAAAGCCTCGAGTTATTACAAATATGTAAACACAATTTATTAAAATTAATAACATAATCTAAGCAACACATATTAATCACTTCATTTCAAGCATTGTAAATCTCTTTATCTGCATTGTCTTTAAAAACATACACAACATAAACAGACAAAGATAGGGTATGTTCATTGAACACTTCCTTTGAATGAAAAAATTTACCCTCTGTGTACATCCTCCATGAGCCAAAATGAAACCGAGCTGGTAATGCACCGATGGCATCTCTTGATTACGTCCGTGAAATGCTGAAGCTACTGTAAGCATTAAGTTTATGAATTTCTTCTCACCAATGGCAACTGGAACATCACTAACTGCTGACTGAATAACTCTCAGGGTGTTTGGTGCTTTGATGTGAAGCTCCCTGTAAAACTTATCCCAAGAAAATTCTAATATACTGTTGTGGTCTTTTTGCTGGAGAATGCTTCCTGAATTTCTTTTACAGAGTTCTTTTGATTCACAACTTATGATGTGTGACACTGCTGTAACAACCTCCTTCCTGTAAGCTGTGGATACTACAGCAATTATAGCATTTTTGGCATTTCCTGAGGACCTACCATTAAAAATAGCTCTACATATTTTCTGTTCTGTTTCATTTCTTACAAGCTCTGTTCTTCTTCCACTTGGGTATGCAATGGTTATCTGTAGAATGAAAAAAGAATTTACTTACAAATGGATATCATATATAATCTAAACATACATATTCATTTATCAATAAATATTGAAGAAGTAAAAACAATAACATTTATAAAAACAAAATAAATTAACAAGTGATTATCACTTATTCATGGTTATACAGGAATAGCAATATTAAGATATTTCTGGAATACATTCAACTTTTTCTTGCTTCTTGACTTTCATCATTCAAAATGTAAATGTAACTAACATATTTTTTTTGTATTATTTTTAATCTTGACATGGAATTTGATGATAAAAATACCTTAGTTTCATCTATGCTGGATGGTGTTTATATCTGAAATAACAACTGCAACAATCTAACTCTGGAAGAAAAAAATAAGCAATATAAAAAAAAAAAAAAAAAAAAAACTGAAGATTTGTTGGTATTCATTAATTAAAAAAAACAAACGAAACAAAACAAAAACAAATCAGGCTGCAAATAATAGTGCTGTATTACAGTTATAATGATATCTGGATTGAGTTACAGGTTTTTAATAGCTCACCTGAGCTGAAAGCTCAAGTGAGCTTTTCTGATCATCCACTGTCTGTCGTCCGTCACCCTGTTCGTCCGTAAACTTTTCACATTTTCAACTTCTTCTCAAGAACCACTGGGCAAATTTTAACCAAAGTAGGTACAAAGCATCCTTAAGTAAAGACCTAGGGAATTTAAATTCTTAAAATGAAGGACCAAGTCCCCTCCAAGGGGAAATAATTAAGAAAAGACAAAGATAGGGTGGGGTCATTAAAAATCTTTTTCTCAAGAACCACAGGGCCAGAAAAGCTGAAACTTATGTGGAATCTTCCTGAGGTAGGGAAGATTCTAAATTGTTCAAATCATGGCCCCTGGGATAGGGTGGGGCCACATTATGGAATCAAAGTTTTAAATTGAAATATATAGGAAAAATCTTTTTCTCAAGAACCACTGGCTCAGAAAAGATGAAACATAGGTGAAAGATCCCTGAGGTAGTGTAAATTGTAAATTTATTCACACTTTGGTCCCCGGCGGTAGGGTGGGGCCACAACAGGGAATCAAAGTTTAATATAGATTGTATATGAAAAATTTTTTTATTAGATCATCCCAAGGACAGCAAAGCCATGATTAGTCAAATTAATATGGAAACAACTTTAGGTAGTGTAGATTCAGGTTTGTTCAAATCATGACCCCCCTCCCCTCTTAGGAACAAGGTGAGGCTACAATAGCCAATCAAAGTTTAAATAGAACTTCATGAGAAAAAGTCTTTAAAACTTAACTTCTCAGGAAAAATGAAACCATGATGAATCATTTTTTAAATGTGGAAGCACTCTTACGTAGTGTTTGTTTGTTTTGTTTTGTTTATTGTTTAACGTCCCTCGAGAATTTTTCACTCATATGGGGACGCCACCACTTGCCGGTGGAGAGCCGCACTCAGGGCCATTGAGCAGTGAGGGATCTTTTTGGTGCCAACATCTAATGCGACACGGGAACTCGGTTTATTCGGTTTCATCTGAAGGACCGGTCTCCACGTCCCAGTGGGATTTGAACCCGCGAAGTAAGGATCAACTCCTTACTCCATGACTCTAGAGGGAACGCTCTGACCACTGCGCCACGCCGGCGACTCTTACGTCATGTAGATTCAAGTTTGTTGAAATCTTGAACCCCCAGGGATAGGGTGGAATGACAATAGTAGATCATAGTTTTTCATATTAATTATTTATAGGAAAAGATTTTAAAAACCTTCTCTGAAGAACAGCAAAGCCATGGTTATTCTTATTTATATTGAAGTATACTCTGGTAGTGTAGATTCAATTTTATACATACCTTGGCCCCTGTATATAGGATGTGGCCACAAAAAGGTGAATCAAAATTTTACATAGGAATACACTCGTATATAGGGGACAAATCTGATGAAGAACAACAGCGCCAAAATGATTCAGGTGAGCATTGTGGCCCATGGGCCTCTTGTTTCAATAATTATTTCAAAATAATATCACCTATTGGAAAGTATGGGTATAACTGTAACATGAATGAATCTTAATATACTACCAAATGCAGAAATTTGTAGAAAGTAGTTAACACATTTGTGTATTTGTGTTTTTGTAAATATTTATTTTAGAACATGAAAGTTAATTTATTTCAAATATATATCTTGATCCCCCCAAAATATCATGTATATGATAGGTATTGGGTGTTGAAGTGGGTTGATGTAAAATTGTAATATTAACATGGTAAACTGTTTCCAAAAAAACATCTTCTGAATTGAACGAATAACGAACAAGTAATTTAACTAGAGCAGAGCTCGTTGCAAAGCAACGAGTAGGTCTTCCGTTGGAGCTGCGAACAGGAAGAAGTGACCTTGAGTCAAGGTCATGCCACATTCTAAGGTTATAAGCAATCTTGTAAGGGGTATCAACTTGCAATGTCTCACCAGTAGAAAGACAGTTAAGGAATGTTGTTTCTCCGTTGATGACCTTGAACTCGTTCAAATGACCTTGCATCAAACCATGACACACTCTGGTTATAAGCAAACCCCATCTTTGTGTTACCGACTCGACAAGTTAACACATGTTCTTTCAGACCATTCATCCAGTCAAAACATTCTTTCCTTAGTGACCCTAAATTTAATCAACATGGCCGTAGGAACCGAGGGAGGGGGGGGGGGGCGTGCCCCCCAATAATTTTGCCGATATATAGATTACTATAGTAGACATAGATACTATAGCTTGTGCCACCTCAATAGAAACGTCTGATAACCTTCTTTTTTTTTGCTTGTCAAGGAATTTTTGGTAGTTGGTGACCTTTTTTTGCTTGTCAGGAAATTTATGGTAGTAGTGCCCCCTCAACTGTCAACTGAAAATGTATGGCTGTGCCCCCCCCCCCCCCCCAAAAAAAAAACCCATCTGAATTTGCTTCCTATGGGCCTGATCAAGGCAATGATACACTCTGTATGATATCAGCGATACCCTTTTGTGTGTTTCGCAGTTGACAAGTTCACAGTTTGCATTTATTGCATGATAGTGAGGGAGACATGAAGATTTCTTCGCCCATAAAAAATCATATTCCCCGAGGGCAACTTGAAGATTTCTTCGCCCATGAAAAATCATACTTCCCGAAGGCAACGCCCGAGAGAAATATGATTTTTCATTTGCGAAGAAATCTTTATGTCTCCCTCACTATTATGCAATAAATTGTTTATAATACCGAATTAACCAAAATGCAGGAATTACAAAGGAGATCCAATGAATAAAGCAAACATGCATTTGATGAGAACGATATGAAAGAGATGTAAGTTACAGGTACACCAATAGCCTCGTTTCATTAAAAAAAAATCCTACGTGACAAGTTTGTGTGATCACACCAGTAACATTCAAACACCATTACATTTTTACACATTTAAATCGACACAATCAATCAACGATAATATGCTGACGGTGCGACCGTTGGGCGAGTGCATTGTTCACTTAATTTTAAGATCCGCCTCTCCAAACAGCACGAGACATTTGGAACGTCTAGACTGTGACGTCTCATGACGTATGTTAGCTGTATTTCCATAAACGAATTTTGAAAAGTGCAAACATTTTAATAAAGAACGTTTAATCTAATATCTTTATGCAATTCCATTAATTAAGGTGATTTTTTGGGGTGAATTTTTAGTTGTTGTTACCGCGCGAACGAAGTTAGCAGCGTCGCTATAAACAATCTAACTCCTCACTCGTTTAATTGTGACGTCACAATCGTGAAACACGACGTTTTGTTGCAGGGCAAACATGATGGACACGTGACTTTCTCGGCCAATCAAATTCTATTTTACTGGTGATTTTTCACTTGTAAGCTAGTTTTCACAGAGGTATAATAAACGTTTTTTTAGACCATACATCGAAATAAATTATCATAATTTCTATAGTCGTAATTTATTAGGTCCAACTCACTGCTTTAAAGGATCATTGTAAATGTTTTATGCCCAATTTGGATACTGAACAACATGTGATTTTTGAAACACTGATGCCCTCATGTGGCATCTTATGGCAAAAGTTAAAAGTTTCTCAAATGCAAGTCAAACTCCATGGTCAAGATCAAAAGATAAAAAAAAATGTTATTACCCAAATAAAGGTCTTGAACAAAGAATATACTGTGAAATATATACTTGTATGAAAGCCACAGCAGCAACAGTTTAAAAGTTATGGCCAAGGTTAATTTCTTTAAAAGGTCAAACTCCAAGGTCAAGGGAACATAATTGTTTGTACTTGAGGGAAGGTCTTAATTGTTACAAGGAATACACATGTGGTATTAAAAAAGCCATAGCACCAACTGTTCAAAAGTTAAAACCAAGGTTAAAGTTTTTCAAAAATAGGACATAATCAAAGGTCAAGGTAAAATGGTCAAAATTAAAGGTATACAATGACAGGCCTTGTCACAAGAAAATTACCTATGTAATATAAAAGCCCTAGTACTAGTCATTCAAAAGTTATTGTCAAGGCTAAAGTTGTTTAAAAGTTGGTCAAACTCCAAGGTCAAGGTCAAATGGTCAAACATATTTATACCCAAGGAGGAGACTTATCACAAGGGATACAGATGTGAAGTATAAAAGCCATAGCACCAACTGTTCAAAAGTTTTGGCCAAGGTTATAGTTTGGTAAAATTTTGCGAAAGAGGATCAAACTCAAAGTTCAAGGTCAAGAGGTCAAATATGTTGGTACCTGAAGGAAGTCCTTGTTACTAGGAATACACATAAGAAATATGAAAGCAGTAGTTCCAACCAATCAAATTTTATGGGCATAGTTAAAGTTTTTGCGGACAAAGAGGCTAACACAGTCTAACAGACAAATAGACAGGTGGACAGGACAAAAACTGTATGCCCCCCGGATCTTCGATTACAGTAGCATAATAAAATGTCGGCGTCTTTGGGTTTTCGCATTGGCCTTAAATCTGAAAATCCAACGGATTACAAGGTGCATTACGATACGCTTTCACATCATGTTCTATAACCCAGAGCATATTGTCTGCAAAGATAAATATTTAATTCAGTATTTAATTAGCTATGCATAATTATCTATGTTGTTTTAAAAAGGAAATATAAAAAAGAAATATTTGTTTTATATTTTTCGATGTAGAGATATACAGAAAATGTTTTCCAATTTTAAGTCCTATCGCAATACACATTTTAAAAAAAAGTGTGTGTTGGAGGGGGGGGGGGGGGGTCATTACATTTTTGCTGGGATTCGCCTATGTATGATCGTAGAGAAACAAAGAGTGGGGAGGGTGCAAGCAGCAACTAAATCAAAATTTACATATTAAAACTACAACAAAAGACTATTTTCAGAAGGTCTGCCCCCCCCCCCCCGTACAATCCGTACAACGGACCTGTGAGAAAAATACTGATCCTACATTCAGAGTCCCAGGGCACCAGGAAAGAGTGGCAAAAAGAGAATATCGGTTTATTTCAGTCTATAAGTCGAATCAAAATATGTTTTCCTCAAGAGTCTTCTTTCTTTGAGTTCTTCCCAGTGATCGTGTGATTTATTTCATTTAATTTACGTTCTGTACTGGACTTGGAAAATGAGGACATCTTTAGGTTCCTGAGCTGGCCTTGAAGCCCGCAGAACAGATTTTCTGCTTTATGATAAATTCAAGTGATATGTAATACGGTATTAATTTTGTGTTGATTTTATTAATGTTAATTTCATCAAGAAATATGAAAAATTAATGTTTTAACTATACATAGTGAGGCATTTTTTGTGTGGAACGATTATTTTGGGGTTTTCACGATTTTTTCATATGGTACACATGATGAGTAAGTGCAATAAATATAATTTGTGGGGTCTGTCCACAAGTACCTGTTGTCAAGCCCGTAGAAAACAATTTCAGTTTTTTTGGGAAGGGGGGGGGGGGCAAATAGAAATTTCCACAGGTACTTGTACTCGATTTTTTCCTATGATACACATGATGAATAAGTGTAATAAATATAATTTGTGGAAAAAAAATGTCCAACAAACATTGGGGTTGAATTTGGGGGGGGGGGGGGATCCTGTCCACAAGTACCTGTGGAAATTTCTTGATACATAAACAGAATTTAAAAGCATGTATTAGACATCTTTTGAAGGGGAGAGGGCACGGCCGTAATTAAAAGTTATATAGAGACTAGGAAGGAATGAACTGTCATTAAATTTTGGTTAAGAACTATTACCTAAACTCTTCACTTTCACATTTTCAATTACAGATTCTTGTTTTTAAAAAGCTATACATGTACATTTATATGTATCTATTAGATGCATAAATCATGTTATTAATCATTTTATCTTAAAGGAAAAGTAAAAATCTCAATCAAACTTGTTCCGCATATTATGCTCTCTGATTCATTACTCAACAGATGCTTCATATACATGTAAGAATGGAAGACTGCAGACTGCAGGTGTGATAAATTCACAGCATGCAGCTCCAGCCTTAATTCCAACTTTGTTCCAAATTATTATTCAACGCGAAAAATTAGAATTAGCCGATAGAATATTTTGAATCACTTCGGAAATGCTGCCGTAACACCAGACTGAGTTCACAATATCGAGTGATTTTGATTGACAGGTGTAGCGCCGTTGTGCATGGATTTCGTGTAACTATACATGTACTGCAGATTGTGGTTGAAAATAATAAACAAACAGATCTAAAGAAAAGATATTGTATACTGTACATATATTTGTTAAGAACCAGTTCATTCATGAAACGAATTTAGTCGTATTATGTGGGCCCATGTTAGATTTGACAGGTTGATTTACTAGTAGAAATTCAATGGACCACCGTCATTTAGGGTATTCCGAATCACCCCGCACATCGCGACTCTCGGTAATTTACCTTACCGCTGTACCTCGCACGACACATGCACAGGTGTGACAACCAAACAGTCATTATTAGTAAGGTCTATACTTATTGCATACAACAAATAAAGAGGTAAACATAATGCGTTAACTAAAAGAATTAATTATTTTAATTCAATAACTTCCTATCCTTTTCGAAGAAAATGCCCGTGTAGAAACGTATTTCTCATCGATGTCGTGGCGTTGTTGGTGGATGAAACATGGCATATAAGGTATCGATAGAACGGCAATTTTATAAGCTTTTGTGAGTATTATTTGTTTTTTATAACACCTCAAAAATATACTAGTTATGGCCGCATTTGTAGCCCCCTACAGTTTCGAACCACGTGTGTACATGCCCCTAGCCAAATAAATTGCACACGCTACATGTATACTTGTTATATGTCAGATTATTATTTTTTTTACAACATTGTTTTTCTTAAATGCAAGGGGTATGAAAGTAATGATTTGACAAAGCAAGAGCTATAATAAGACTATCCCGGGTCCCGGTATACACTTGATCAGTGTTGATCAATGTTCATATGTACGAGTACACGTATGCAAATAATTCGATAGCTTTTGAAGATTTCAACATACATTTTTGTAACACGCATATTTGTAATAACCACTTTATATACAAAACAAAATTTCATTCTCTTATATGGTAATATGGACGTCGTAATAGATCTGACTGAATGCTTGACATGCCTGTTTCAAAAACGTTTCCTAAGTTATCTTAAGATATGCCTAAGTTATAACTTTAGAAGTTCCTAAGATTTATCACAGCTGTATCACGAAACAATCTTATCTAAAAAAAAATTATAAGTCATTTCTTAAGTTGTGCCTTTAAGGACTAATAAAATAACATTCCCGCTCTATATACAACTCTCAGTATGGTATATATTTTTAGATTCAAAAAGAAAGGGTGCGAGGATTAGGGATTGCCCCCACTTTTAAAGGATTTGGACACAAGTATGCTTAACTTTGCGAAGTGTTTTGCTAGATCTAAGCATTCACAGACACACCCTTTCAAGCCATCTTCCCTTCCGAGCACACGATATTTGTATTTTAATTTTTAAACATTGTTCTAGGCGTTATACATTTACTTTATTTTGTTCTTATAAGGTATCTACATGTAAATAAAATTTTAAAATGAATGCTTCGTAGCGAACACATGCGAGTTTATATTTTTCAAACAATCTTTGCCAATTACTACACTGCATGTACATGCTAGTTGTTTGTGCGGTGTAGAGCAACAATGTATTTCAACATCGAGGTGCCCGCGGCTCTCTGTGGCCACGTGTATGTAAACGAGGACTGGACTACAACACTTAAAGACACAAAGCGGCAGAGACGGATGAAACTGTTTGCTGTATTACAAAGACTTGAATTATAGTACATGTATATTTGAAGGAATTTTTATTTATGTTAATGTTTATTTAATTCTATAAATAATAAATGGACATTCACAAGAGTGGTGGTAAAAATAATATGTGCGTAGCATGCGTAGTAATTACAATTATTTACCGAAGCCCCCATTCAATTACAATTGCAGATGAATTAAAATACAACAACACGGGATAGAGCAATACTTTTTTTTAAATGTATTGTTGCGTGAACAGACAAAAACAGCGATTAAAATTCAAAATGATTTTTATGCACCAGTGTTTGGAATTAAGATTATAAAAGATCGGTAAAGTAATCTTACTGATTCGATATAATTAAAAACATAACTTTCCATTAATTAATAGCTCTTTCTACAAAATTGACATTATACGCGATCACAAATACTAGCTTTGTTTATGGTCACAGGTGGCTAGTACACTGGTGACCTCGATCAACAGCGTGGGATTCGCGCGTTGGGTTACATAACTAAACATCGAGCTGAACATGGAGACCGTAATATGCATACAGCTAATGATCGTGAATTATTCAATGCATACAGTTTAAAATCACTTACAAAGTTTGTTGTAATAATAAACGTAGAAAGATAGATTTAATATTCTCCGCTTTTGAACACTATTAACCTAATTTAAAAAAGAAGAAAAGAAAGACTAGTTGTAATAAATAATTTAATAGTGAACCATAAACCACGTTTTAAACCTTATTAAAAAGAAAATTAACATTAAATACCGCAGGGTATATTATTGATAGCAAGTCTGTTTAAGTTATACACATGAAGAGGTCTAATTTCCTTGCCGAATGAAAAACGTTACCTGTTTACCTGGCCTGCTTTCTAATACGTATTACGCAATACCCATGGTATACTCGAACAAAACAACATTTTCATTAGATCAAAAAGGTGTAAAAGAACAATTTTGTTCCCAAGATCCAGATCGAAATATTTACCGTTTTTGAGTTATAAAGCAAAAACTTTTAAGGGCCCAAGATCCCTAATCATAGGGGCCAGGCCCTTTGAAATAGTATAATATGAAAGCCCTTGCAATTATGCGCAACTTTTGTTCTACATGTCTTAACAAAATATTTCTAGTTTTCAAGATATAAAGGAAAATATGTCAAATTTTTTGCTGTTTTCCGCTTTCTAACTTTTGACCCCTCTCTAGCGCCATTTTTAATGCAAAAATCAAAAAACAAAAACCGATGTGCACAACTTCAATGCTTCCTCTTTTCAATTTCAAAGGGTTTTGTGCTCCAATTATAACCATTTCTGAGCCTTTGTCTGGAAATGGGAGGCATGCAAAATTCAATCAAAGGGGAATAACTCGTGAACAGAAGGTAATTTCCGAATTGTATTACGGTATTCTGACAGTGTTTTGTAAAGTCTAAAAGCTCTGAAAATTTGAACAAAATCTGTTTAAAAATGAGGAAGATATGAAGCGTCAAAGTTGGCGTCTAGGAAAAAAAAAAAGAATAATCTTAATCATCACAATCAGTAGAAGGTCTTCCGTTGGAAACGAAAGACCTTAATTACTTACCTCAATTTCACCTTGATTGGCTTGAAGATTCACTTTCACATCCTGAAATTCTAGTGATCTCCGTACAGTCTTTGGCTTATCAATATCACCTGTATTAGTTATTTCTTTAAAAGGTGCTATATGGACAGGTATATACTTAACAGCTTCTATATTAAATGTCTTGCCTTTCTTTGCTGACTGCGTTACCACTGGACTTCGTAGCATCCGTTTCGTAATAACCTTTCTTCTGGGAGAAGGTAGCTGTAGCAGATGTGTTTCATTAATTTTCCTAGCCATGCTACATATGTTTGCTTTTATGTTCTCGTTTTTCTGTTCAGATTTTATCACACTGTCCACACTTCTATAACATTTCAGGCACACGGCACTGTTGCTTGAAAAGTTGATACCAGTTATTTTATAAACATTTTCTACCCTCTCAGTGGTAAACCTGAGTTTCCGGTCAAAATGTTTACGTAGTATGACCTCACCATTGTCTTTCTTTTCATACTGAATGAAAGAAAACCCGCAGAGAACACAAATATCACTGAGAGCACACGTTTTCGTCGGCGTAGCAGGCGCCGCCATTTTCTACTTTCGTTTTAAATCCTCATTCGTATTGCATCGGGAGTTATTAATAAAATTTTGAATTCCGAAGATTTTACAGAGTCTCGCAAGCGGTCGTTTGATTGGATAATATAAAGGTCACCAGGAGATGACCCTCTATTGGGCTTCTTCAGATCCTCGTAAGCGACATATCGTTAAAAAAGGAGCATCGAGGATCTTATTTTAATCAGATTGTGTTAGGCCATTATTTACAAACTGAATTGTCGACGAATTTTACCGTTATTTCCCGATTATGACAAGGAGCACACGGCGGGTGTGACCGATCGGCAGGGGATGCTCACTGCTCCGTGGCACCTGATCCCACCTCTGATGTTTTGGAGGTCCGTGTTTGCTCTTCTCCTATTTTGCATTGTTTAATAGACTTTTGAGCTTGAATACTGTTCGTTATCTCCATATATTTCATACAAATAAAACTCTTTTTTTTTGTATTGACCATAAACTTGCGAAATGATGACTTCAAACGAAACTGTTGATATCCTTGTTTCATCGACCTGTTTGTCAACAGCTTGCCTCGTTTTAGAAGTAGTTCATACATAGAACATGCTCTTGCGTATCAAATCAACTGGGACACAAAAACCCCATATGCAGGTACGTGATAAGGGTATATTTCTAAATAAGTAAGGGATGTGTCAGACTCTGTGCTATCTTTTATTTCAAGCTCACAGGGATATATCGAGTGGACATATGATTGGAAGAAACAATTGTTACTTGATAATACGTCGTAGATATATCTAAATGTCGAATTAAGGGCACAGCACGTGTTTACTTCTTCTCACGAGAAGTTTCGAATAAATTCTGCATCATATGAATACAAAAATAGGTCTGCTAATAAGGGGGAGCAATTGGTACCCATAGAAATTCCAACAGATTGTTGGAAGACCTGATCTCCATAGAACTGCACAGATATTGTCAATAAGAAACGCAAGCATCGTTTTAATATCAACTTCAAAGTACATGTGTCTGTAATTAGAAATTTTGCAAATGACCAATGACAAGATAGGTATATTTACGAGTTCCATTTTTATTGAAAAAAAGCAGCTGTCAATGATGTCAAAAAGCCTGGACTTTAATTCATCGTAGTGAATGGTTGTATATAGTGTTGGAAAGTCGTCGTATGTTTTGATGTTATTGATTTTGTTAAAATTTTTTGATTTATTCAAATTTTTAACTGGATGTTTTGTTAAGTATCACAATAACAAGTAAAAATATCACGCAATACAGTTTATGTATATAATTTTATTTAATTATAATTTATTTATCTATTCAATTATTGATATAACTCTCGATTATCTCCTACATTTTACACCCATTTGATACAGCATTAATGGTAAATTGGATAAAAAAAATTTCTGAATGCAAGGAAAAGTTCATTACAAATTCATTAATGATTTTAAAACTAGTATCATATGGATATTTGCTCTTTATTACAACTCTTTTTCTAAGGAGGTAGAAAATGTTATCAACTACATCCATGCTTTAAAACATCATCTGATTTTAAGTTACTTATGAATATGGATAAACGTCTCTTCGATCTTTTCTTATGTTTATCTTTTGTTTGTGAGGCTCTTTCTTTTTATTGTTTTTAAGAGGAATTTGGATTCAATTCTGCAAGAGGTAATCTAACTTATAATCCTCGTTCAATTTCCAAGGAGGAAATTCTTCAAAATCATATTTCAGTTTTAAATAGTTTTAATATTCCCAACAATGAAATTGAATTTGAATTATCATATATACCTATAATTTAGTGTAATTTATGGAGTGGAGCGAAGTGGACTGGATGAATGGAAAGTTTCTATTAGAGATATTTTTGACGATTCCTTTTCCGATCCCATGTTTTCTATTTCAATATGTTCTGTCAAAAATTGTAGAACCTGTGATATTTTGATTACTAGCTCTTCGTTTTCTAGCAATCTTACTGGACAGAGCTTCTATACCAATACTTGGGAAAATCTGAATTGCAAATATTCTAATGTTATTTACGGAATAGAATGTACCCTTTGTGGGCTTATTTATGTTGGTAAAACCAAGGGTTCACTTAATAAAAAATATCGGGGCATAGATTTCAGATTAACAACGGGGCTCAGCAGCTTCTATACAAGCATTTAATTTACCTGATCATTTTTTTTTTGTCAATGAAGTAAGAATTCTAGAAAAGATTTATCATCATACTAATAGCCCATCACTGAGTACACCTTTCCGTAGAAAACGAGAAGAATACTGGATAAGAAAACTAGGCACTGTCTTTCCATATGGTAGCAATGACAATGTCGATAGTGTTGGGAATATTTCAAGCCCACAGTGTATGGAAGGGAATTACCGCCAAAAGTCTATTTATCTTGCTTTTATTCTTATTCTGCCTACTTCTTTATTCTTTGTTATTATTGTAACTATATGTTACTTTATTGTTTTCATATTCGTCTTTATTACATTTCACTTTGAACTTTTTTCATTCTTCATTTTGTCCTTACTTCTATGTTGCTTTATTCTCGTAAATACGTTCTTTTTTCTTTTAAATTGATACAGTTTCTTTAATAAATAATTATGATCATCTCTATTACAAATGTAAATTCAGTCACGCAAACCATGAAGCGCATTCAACGAAGACGAATACAAGTAGTGTGAATTTAATGCGGCATTATAACGCTAGGTGGCAGGATGTTCGCTGCGAGTGTTGGTAAAATTAGGTACGCAAACCGGGGCCGAGGTTATTCGAGATTTTTCAATTTTCTGCCTTAATACTTTATCAATCGAACCCAAATTTTCAAGTTATATTAGTTATGGGTTTATTTGTATTACGCAGTAAAATTGCCTCGAAATGCTCAATATTTTAGATTTTCTCGAAGATATTTGATTTCCAAGTTGGTAAAATGGGAAGGCAGTATCAAGCTGACATTTTTAGTTTTTTTTTGTTTGTTTGTTTGTTTGTTTGTTTTTTTTTTTTTTTTGACAAAAAGCTAATAAATTTATAAATTATTCTGATGTTAAACATTATATTTTAACTATTTATAAGCATTTCTTATTTCAAATGTGCTTTTGTTGCTTTAAATAACACGTTTTAAGAAAATCTGGGTCATTAAAACCGAACTAATGATGAAAACTCCAAAATAATTGTTCATTTTCTGTCACCTGAAAAATATAACTCTATTCAAGTTATTTGTTGGATGATTGAATTTCAGTTTTATTGATATAAAAAATATTAAATATTTTGATAATTACTAGTATACCCTTATAAATTGAGTTGTTTTTCAGGACCCCTATATATTCTTCCACTGAACTGACATTTCTTTATTTCAAGATAATAACTGTTCGTGCGCAGTCGCCTGATTCTGGGGACCGGGGCTAGTCTGGTTTCGGCCAACCCATAATGCTCTGCAGAGTAGTGCGGAACGTCATAGGTAGGCGTGGCCGGAACCAGGCTAGACCGGGGCATACTAGAAACTTCCCCCGGCTTTTATGAAAATATGTATTAATTTTTTGTACAGAAATAGCACTTTTCAATACAGAAATGAATATCTCTAGTAAGCACACAGTGTTTGACATGAGAATAACTCAAAAAATTATTTTGTCAATGTCTCGTTTGGCAAAAAATACGTAAAATGTCGGCTTGATATTACCTACCTATCTTAGCAAATTGGGAATCAAAAATCGCCAAAATAATCTAAGATATTGAGATTTTCAAAATATAAATACATGAATATAGATATTGGCAATATTTACAGCGAATACAAATAAAACTTAGAGATGTAGCATTGTTTTTGAAAGGGCCAGCCAGAGAAGGAAAAAAAAAACAACTTACCTAAAAATCTTGACAAGCAAAAAAAAAAAAAAAAAAAAAAAAAAAAAAAAAACAACAAACAAACAAAAAACCAAAAACAGAGGAAAATTCTTCAAACTCGAAAATTCTATTTGGGGGGAGGGGGTCCAACTTCTATTAGTACCAAATTTTACTCATACATCACTACGTACATGGCCCTTATTTGACTAAACTGCAACAAAAAATGGGAGGGGGGCAACCAGACTTTCATTGAACATTTTCAGTGGCCAGCCCCCCCCCCCCCACCCGCTACTGGTGTCATATAGTGAGACTTCCCGATATTGAGTCTTCACCCCGGAAGTCTGGCTATATAGTGAGACTTCCCCTCGGGGGGGGGGGGGGGATGACTATCTGGGATATAGTGAGCCTTCCGCTCTAAACGACCATAGTGAGACTTCCCCTTCCGTGTTTGGTTTTGATTTTATTTACATCGACGATGTATATATTGCATATTTAGATATTGATCTTATATATATATATATATATATATATATATATATATATATATATATATATATATATATATATATATATATATATATATATATATATATATATATATATAAGATGAATAGTTTCAAATGAATCAATGTAAAAGTGCGCATTAAAAATTTATCGTGCACAGCAGATTATTGTATTGTTCACAGACGATTCTTATCAAAAGAAAAAAAGACATAATTAGTTTAACAGTAAAGAGGTCATTACCCGTGCAGTTTACCTATGTTTACCTGCATGGTTAAGATGCTTTGATTGTAAAAATCACTATTAAAATGTTTTGATAATTTATTCATATATTTATTTATTCATTCATATAGGAAGGAGAACTTTGAACTTTTATCCCAACACTGAAAACGTTAGTATAAAAACATTGTTTTACAATTAAAAAAATATTCGGAAACTAAATTAAAGGGGGGAAGTTTCGCTATGAAGGGGGAAGACTGACTATATAGTGAGACTTTCCCCCGGAAGACTGGATATATAGTGAAAACTTCCCCTCGATTGATAAAGTATTAATTTAAGGCAGAAAATTGAAAAATCGCGAATAACCCCGGCCCGGGTTTGCGTACCTAATTTTACCAACACTCGCAGCGAACATCCTGCCACCTAGCGTTATAATGCCGCATTAAATTCACACTACTTGTATTCG